GCGCGGCCTTTTACCGATTGGTTGAATTAAAGACAAAGAGGTTGGGACTCAAGTTGTTTGGGCTGGAGGGGATGAAAACTGCCTCATCACTTTAAAAAAAGAGACAAAACGCTCTTTAAATTCCACTTATTTTCGGAATATTTCTGCATAAGCATGTGTAAGAGCTCAGAAAAGAGTCCTGTCAAGTGGGACTGAAACGAGATAAGAGGCTAAGGTCTTAACCGGGCTTCACTAGCATTACACCAGAGTTCCAGTCGGAGTTCCAGTGCCGTGGAAGACGTTTTTCCCTTTTTCTGGTGCCTAAAAAGTGAAATCCACCTTCAACCGGTAACCACGGACAGTTTTCCCTAACATCCCACATCCTGAATACCAGACAGAGGAAGGCATATATGTCAGCTGTGGAGGCTAAACTCTGGGAAATAGCACCTGATCCATATTAATAAGTCAGCATCACTGTGTTTTTTTTCTTCCCTTACCTCTGGAGCATCTCTGGAGTATTTATTCTAACCTCTGCCCCGTAAATTTGGGCTTAAAATTATTCAGGAAATGCATTTTCTCATGCATTTACGTCCACAGGCCAAGTGTTAGCCCCTGTTAGACTTCGTTATGTTAGAATTTGGCTATAATTAGTCACTTTAGCATTGTATGCTATCCCATAATCTATGTTAATTACTGATTGTCTTATTCCTTTTAGAACTATACTTTTGTGTTAAATTCTATGGCTGTAACCATAGATTCTTTTTTTCTTTCCTGTTGCTTTAGACACAAGTCATTAAATCAACACACATACTTTGTTACCACATTCCAAGGTTTACCCGCATTAATTAGGACCTAGCCGCTTCATGTCAGGGTTAGGGTTAGTAAATAACTGGCCAATAAGCACTCAGCCCAGAAGACAAACACCTATCACACCCAGATTTGGGGGCTCTTTGCTGACTGAGACCCACAGAGAGAGGTTTTTGTCTGTGAAGAGCCCAGTGCTGATATACTTAACTGTGACCCAATAAATGCAATTTTTACAAGTTTGATCCACTCTGGTTTGTTCTCAGGTTTCCAACTAAAGAATCGGGTTAACAGTTAAAAAAAAGTCTAATGCAATCTACAGTAAAAAAAAAAAAATCTAGATTTTATCCCACATAAATGCTAAAACCTGTTAGTATTCTGTAAAATGAGCCAATCAGCATCTCCTTTTAAAGGAATCTTGAGTTCAAATGTGTCCCATCGTGGTTTCCAGCAGAAATGGAGCATTGGGGTGCTTTCTTTCTGCTCCGGTTTTCTTTGATCGTGTTTTTTTCCGGTAAACTACAAACACCACGTCGCGTTTCCATGCAGTGAAGCTTCTGCAGGGGAGCTTTGATTCCCTTATTGTTGCTAACGCGGCCGAGGGATCTGAAGGAACCCAGTGACGACGAACAAACAATTACATTTATTTATTGATTCATACATTATACATTTCATGATATAATAGCGATATATTATTATTGGCAAAGATATTATAATCCAATTGCATTTCTATACATAAATACAAAATCTGAGGTAGGGCCTCAAAGATTGATGATGTGGAAAATAAATAAATGCATTTCACATTTATGATATATATGTATATATATATATATAGATTCTATTTCTATATGTCACACACAATTTAAAAGATTTTTGTATATCGTATATCTACTCTCAATTTTAAAATCAAATGAATGTCATGGGCTGTTGGAGGCACATATCTATATCCATAGGCAGCAGTACCTCACATAGAACACACAGAAATATATGACATTACTCAAGTAATTAGAAATTTAACCTATGCATCCATAGGTCACACCATAAAGTGCCAAAAAGACACGACAGACATTAACAATAGGAATACTGGTACCATATGAGACAGACAGCTAGGCTGTGGTGATACTTTTTGAAATACATATCATTTTTCTACCATTAGAGAACATCTATAAGGCCAATGGTTACCTGAAGATGTTTTGTAACGTATTGGCAAACATCGAAGAACACTACATGTTATATGAATGGCAGTATCTCGACCTCCTATACGCAGATGACGGGTTTCTATTTTTTAACCTTATTTCTTTTGTTTGATTTTTTTTTCCCTTTTTTGTTTTTCACCGCAACCCCAGTTAAAGGACTCGTTTTTTTTTTACTTTTTTTTGCCCAAATTTGACTTGACTTCTCAAGAGATTTTGTTGCTTTTGTTTTTTTTTTTTCTTTCGTCTTCTGAGCAACTTCTGTGTTTCTTAACTTTATGTCGAACGAAAAGTTCTCTAAAGGAAACATGCACCGACTTATACTATTGAGAGAAAAATGATAATTTTACATGGACGTTGGGTAACAGCAACACAAACTGCACATGCTAGCTCTTTACTTGACACATTTTATGAAGCAGTGTGTTTTTAATGACGCTCTGAGCTGATTTTTTTCCCCTCTCAGACCAAAGGAATAGAATCCCTGTAGCTATATAAACACAAGGACATAGAACTTATAGCTTTTTCAGTAAAATCATTCAAACTATTCTGGACATCAAGGCTTTTGCCGTTCAAGTTTTGCTACATTTAAGAAAGACAACACATAATTTAGAAGTTCAACCTGCTCCTTAATCAATCCCTACTCTGAACTATATATTTTTTTTCTTTCTTTCTTTTGTTTGGAGCGTTTCAGTGTTTAAAGTTTAAAGTTAGCTTCACACAACTACTCAAGTTTGCATTGTGCCCTCTGAGGTCTTAGACCTGTCCAGGAGAGACGTTCCAGGAAAAAAACGGCCTGAAAAACCTCCCTTCACTCCGAGAATGACCATGCAAACTTCTGATTTCCACGAGTGGAGGGCGCTGGAACTAATACGGAGAGACAAACACGCACAAGCATACGGCAACATACATTATTATCACGTCTGAGCAAACTGCACAACATCTTAAAAGTAACACGGTGTAGCAAGCAAGCTAGTTAGCATCGGGATACTTGTGCTCATAAATTGATTATGTTGTGTTTTAAGCGACCTCTGTGTTCTTTGTATCTGTGCTATTTTCATGTCGAGGTCATGAAAAACATGGCTTAGAGGATAATAGAAAGAGAGAGCCTTAAGTTTGGAGCGACCGTTATTGCATTCCGCCCTAAAAACAGCCCGCCGCTAAATGCCTGCAGCGTGGAGCGTGGTCAGATCCTAGTTGAGTACACGTTCAGCCTCTCAAAGTGTGCAAAGAGCTAACTGCCTCTGAGGGAGCTCGGGGGTGGCTGGGGGGGGGGGGGGGCACACCGGTCCCAATCCCGGCGAATCCCCCCGACAGAGTCTGAGCTTTAAAAAGAAAACAGGCGCTGAATTGCACGTTAGCTAGCAGCTCAGGAAGCTGCCAAAAGCCTCTTTTTTTAAACTTTCCGGTTCCCCCTCAGCTAATCTGGTGGATATCTTGTTCTTCTTGAGGTGCAAAGGACATTTGCTCTAGTTAGCGCCGTGCACAGGTGGTCGGAACGGCGTCCTGGTGGCGGCGCTCCGCTTTGGAGCGTTTGCATTGAGCAACGGACGCCGCTAGTCCCGCAACTAGCACAGCCGTCCGGCGGAGTGTACCTGAGACCCTGTTTTCACGAGGAACACGCAGATAAAACGAGAGGAGACGACTCTGAAGCGACCGGGCGGCCTCCAGAGCTCTGCCACGAACAACCAGAGACAAAATACACACTTCCCGGAGAGGAGGAGGAGGAGGAAGAGGAGGAGGCCGTTCTCTTTTCTAGTCTAATCTCTAATCTCTAGGCCTGCTCGTACAAAGCAGCTTCTACTGGACCTGTGGGGATGTGATGACACATACACGCACAACTTTGATAAAGTCCTTTGTTTTGTTTTTTTTGTGTAAAGAGTGCACTTTGTACAAAACGATCCGTTTTAGCAAGAGAAACGCAGAGCAACACAACACTCACACACAAACACACTCAGTCTGGGCTGTGCTGTTCAGTCCTCTTCCTCTAGAGGTTTTACATATAACTTTATATAGACTGTATATATATGTATATATATATATATAAATATTTGTGTATATATTTATAGATTTATGCTATTACTCTACTGATTTGATGTGCGATACAAAGAAGATTTCCACCGATGGATTGACAAGCTCACAACACATAAATACATGTGTAAAATAGGTGCACAGAGAATTAATAAGAGGGTCCATTTTCCAGGCCCTGAAACGGTTTATTTGGGCCGTTTCACACTACTGAAGGATGGGCGGACTAGCCTATGGGCTTTCCTACATTTAGAAAGGTGCCGTGCTGCATTATTAGCTCCACACAACTTAACAAGTAGACGAGGAGAGACGAGGAGGGGTGGCATCACGCGGGTTCTTTCAGTTTTAAAGAGAAAATAAAAACCCCGGCCTGTGTCGCAAAAACTGAGCCTTTAAAGGCCAACGTGTACGGAGTGAAGGCGTTCACTATTCTACCGAAACATTAGGAGGCACACGTTGCAGATCTTGTCTATTTTTGTCAAAGCAAGAGCGACTAAGCAATAGCTTTATATGACTGTACATCTATAATGCCGGATGGGAACAAATCGATTCAAGATTAAAGAAGAAGAAGTTTTTTTTGTTGTTTCTGTATCGCCACAAAATGGAACCAAACCGACCTCATCAAACTCGTTGATCCGTTCTATTTTTTTGTTTCGTTTTTTTTTTTTCTTCCCGGCACTCAATTTTTCTTTTTGTTTTTCTGTCGTCCGCCCGCACCGACGTGATTCATTACTCCCTACTCACAAATCTAACGGCACACGCACACGCACGAACGTGGATGAGTCTGACACTGCCAGTGCAGTCATTTTACCACACCGTTTTTTTTCCCCTCGGAATAAGGAGCCCGGGCGTAATCGGTGGTCATGTGTGGGGGGGGGTGAGGGCAGCCCGGTGACTGAGTTACAAAGCAGCAGTGGACTCCACTTGGGCAGTCACTCCTCCCCCCAGAGAGAGAGAGAGAGAGAGGAGCAGAGCAGGTGGGGGGTGTAAAGGTGGAGAAAAGCCTGTTTCCACATCCCACGACACGGAGAGGAAACCGGGGGAACAAATATGGAGCGGAAGGAGAAAAAAAAAAGGGGAAAAGATGGAGGAGAATACAGCCCTGGAGCAGGCACCCCCCCCCCCCTCTCTGCTGCTGCTACTGGTAGGAGCCCAGCTGGAAGTCCTTGGGGGGCAGTTTGAGACCCAGGGAGTTGGTTCCTAAGGGGTCCATCATGTTTTTGTAGCGCTCCCCGCGGTGCTTCATCAGGAAGGGGCCCCAGTCGGGCTGAGGGGAGCAGACCAGCTTCAGGCGCTGCGGGGGGGGGGGGGGGGGGGGGGGAGCACAGGGCACGCTTGTTAAGGTTCAGCAGATCCACAAATACAAAAACTACCCAAACAAACTAGAACATGAGACCTCCGCAGGTTCAAACATGTTAAAAATAGAACGACTTGAAAGGTGGGATTTTGCACACAAAATATTCAGTAGTTCTGTTTCGGGAGGCACACCTGAAGGAAAAACAAAGAAAAGAAAAACAAAAAGACAGGGATTTGGAAGAAAAAGAGGCTTGAAAGCATACCAGGGGGAGAAAACGTGCAAACAAAAGCATTTTAAAGTCTGTAGATCTGAATTCGCAAGGACGCCACATTAAAAGTCCAACGCAAAAGTCGACTAATGTTCATTCAACAATTTTACGGCAGCAGTTTATGTCTATTTTCTGGATCCGTTAGTTGTTGCCGTGGTAATGAGAAAACTAGAGCAAGAATAAGTCGCTTGGATAAGATCAATGCTACTTTTTGGCATTTCCAGTTTGGTCATTTGTCCCTCGTCTTAGCTGCCGACCCCCAAGAACCTGAGATGCTTGAAACACCTTTAAGAATCTGATATAGGTTCTGTGGAGTGATCCTATTGGGTGTAAAATATCACGTTTCTAATCGCTTTGCGGCAGTCCCACCCAAATTTGCCCCGGAAATGAAATCACAGTCCAAGTATCATCCGTTTCTGAGGATGCTGTTAAGAGACTAAGAGGAAGCAAAGATGTCCGACAAAAAGCCGGTGTAGGAGCCTAAATGCAGTTTATTTTAGTTAGAATATTTTTTATTTACAAATATGCAAATTCAGAAGATAAATATTGTTTGTTATCTAATAATTCAAAGGGATTTAAAAGGATTGAAACTTCATATTTACATATATAAAGTTTATTGATATTGTGTGAATAAGACTTTTATTGTGATGTTTAAAAACCTATTTCAGGTGATTTATCTTCATGCCAGGGGAGTGTGCTCAGTTGGAATCAGAAGGAGATTGGAGCATAACAATTTTTTTAACTCACCCTTCCCAGGGTCCATTGGACTTTGAAAGATTTAATTTTGCGGAAATATTCGATGTTTTTTGTAATGTTGCGTTAAGTTTATAAGTAAATTGTTAAAAGCATAAAAAATGGACTCGTGGATGTATTTTGGAAGTATTTTTTGATGCAAAGGAGTCTGACGAGCTGGTTACCTCGACCAGGGAGCCGGGGGCCAGGTACATCTTGATGGCGAACATGATGGGGATCCAGATCACAGAACAGGTCACCATGAGCCAGCCCATCACCATGGACCAGGTGGGGTAGGTGTAGTCCTCGTAGGTCATCACCTTCCACTGGTACAGACTCAGTCCCAGGATACCCTGCACAGGAAACACAACCCCCCAACAAAAAAACCTCAAAAATCACATATTCAATCCATCCTTTTTGTGTTTTTTCAAAGCCTCTGCTACTTTAGAGAAAGTCTTCGACCTGTTTTCGGTGAGTCGATCTCTCCTTAAGCGTGGCAGCTGGCTCTGATCTGATTTTATAAGTCCTTAATTGGAGCAAATTGACTTTTGCCACAAATTTCCCCTCCCGGTTCCCCTCAGTGAGAGAAAACAGGCTACTGGCGACGACAACACGTTAGATAATGAGAGGAGTGCTCGAGTGTTGACTTGCAAAGCAAATATGCAAAGTAAACCTAAGAGCTAGACTATGAAAAACAGGACATTTCTGAAAAATAAACGGCAAAAGGACCTGTAGCAGAGGCATTTGTCAACTCGCTGCTTTGTTTGGGGAGTCATTTACATGACACGAGCCCACGATAATACAGATATTTATTTGGAATCGCGTAATTCTGGGAGGACTTTTGGGTCTCTGTTTGTTCACAGAGACCCATAAACTTTAAAAAAACGGAAGGATCTGCAAAGGCAGAGATCAGAGAAGCTGACAACAGTCTGAGACTGTAACCAGGAAAGTAGTGAGTATCGAACCGGAGGGAGGAAATAACAAACGGGGGACGGTACGGGTTTAAAGAACAACGGATGGAAACAGTCTTGAGGACCAAACAAAAAGTGGCTGTGCTGAGAAATAATCTGACCACGGCTCACGCAGCTGTTCTCTGGGTCTGCCAAAAATACAAAAATCACTTTGAATGAACCGTTTGTACACCTGGATGTCAAATAATGGAGCGCCGCTATGAAAATTTGGACATAATTATCAGGCATCTGTCATTAACTTTTGCCCTGTGTGTCCTCTCCGTTGCATTCAAAGACCTCAAATGGCTGGTAAAAACGTTAACTTACCCAGGCAGGACATACAAACTGCCAGGGACCTTTAGAATAAATCCACTTTGCTTTCATCCTAACTTTTCTAATGTAGACTTAGTAGTAAAAGGTGTTTTGGGGTCAAGTTAAAGCTTAAAGGTGTACTCAAGAGAAAGACTGGAATCCTGGGCTATTTCTGTGCCTTATAAAACTCCCACACAGTAAAGAATGCATTCCAGAGAAGAAATCCATAGATTTAACACAGTGCTGGTATATTTGAACCCGGTTCAACACAAACAAAGGCAGTTCTTTTGTAATTCTTCAAGCGAATAAATTCTTCTGCTGATTGTTGGAATCATGCAAGATGCTAAGCTATTAGTGTCCATCTAACAGACTTTCTCAGAGATAATCTTTTAATATTCAGCCATTATGACATCTTTTTGGTGTAAACTGTAACTGGTAGGAATAGGAACGACTGTTAATCACAAAATAATGGTGTGTGTTTCTTTTCTGCTGCCGCTGAGTGATTTTCAGCCCTAATGAGGATTTGAGTCAAAATGAACTGCTATGCACTCAAAACGAATGGCTAAATTCATGTTTACTCTTCCATGTGCTGTAAATAAGAGGATGAACAACAGTTTAAATGGGATTCAGTTCCTTATATTTGCGGTTTGTACACAAAACTGGGGACAAATGATGCCCTGCTCACTCGGCTGAAAAGGATTTAAATAAACCGAAACAAACGGGGAACGAAAGGAAGACAGAAATGGACCCAGGAGCTCTCTGAGGGGAAATGGGATCTCCCTGGGGGGCAGCGGGATGACCATTTTTATTATAATTACAAACATTAATGGTGACACAGGCCCACTAGAATTACAAATTCTGCTTCACAATTCTGAAAAACCAACGCCCATTCGACAAAAAAGGCCCTTTTTTTGGCCCCCGGAAACAAATATATGTAAATGATCCAGCTCTGATAGACATCAGACCCAAACCGAAAAAAGCCCAGAACAGCAAACGGAGCTGAGAAATCATTTTCTTATCAGTTCCCTATTTCGAGTGGAGCCATTTCCTATCTGTAGCCTCCCCAACGGCGATCGCATGGAGTTGAAAGGAGATGAGAAACACTTCAAAACGCACGTCCACAAAAAACGTGCACGCCTATGAAAGGAGGGGGGTGAGGGAAGCGAACATACCGTCAGAATGGTGGGAGTCACAAAGGCCCAGCACACCCTCCAGAATCGGTTCGGCTGGAAACCAATCATCATCTCGATGTCCTCACAAAACCTCTCCAGACCTGCAAACAAAAGGAAAAATTAAAATATAGGGGGGAGGAAGAGACAGAAAAATGGAGACACACAGTAACCGAGTCTCATAAAAAAAAAAAGAGACACAAGCAAAGTCCAGCCGTCTGTGTGTGTGTGTGTGTGTGTGTGTGTGTGTGTGTGTGTGTGT